TTTGAATCAAATCAAATCCTTGAAGACCAGCCATAGATCCTAGACTCCTAGACCAGTGACGCTATACTGCTGGCACGGCACAGGAACTAACAGAAAAGGCAGCAGCGAGCAAGTTGGTGGCTTCCTCAATGCGGAAAACCGTGAAAGACATTGAGGGCATGTCCAAGGCTGTGAAGAGAGCGAGAGAAGTCTTTGAAGCGAAACGAAAGGAATTGGAGAATGTTGGAGCTGGCAAAGGTGCTTCTGGTGGCCTGTGACTAGGTCGCATTGCCAGCAGTTGACATTTTGACAAAACTCAGGTCCGTCGAAAATACAACACAAAGGTAGTCACAGTCACACAAACAGACTTAATCAGGTGAATTGTTTTGCTTCATCATGTTCTTATACATGCTGAAATTACAGGCTTTACCCAACTGGAACAGACCTGACCCCACACCTTGAAAACAAACAGTTTATGGCTTTATGATCTGGACTGGACTGGACGCTGTCACTGATGTCACTGATAATTGAATGATATTGACAACTCAACGACAATGACAATTTGATAGTTTTTTGACTCTGACTCTGACTCTGACCTATTTTGTTTTCGCGTCCTGAGGCTGGGTCGCACGAACTTTGCCAAGTGCATTGGCTCCTCAGATCCTCCTGTCCTGCAGTCGTTCAAGCAACTCTGTGTCCTGCGACCGATGAATGTCGTTCAGAAGACCAACAATGAGGTTGCGAGTTTGAACCACGCTGTGATCATCCGGCGCGGCCGCAACACATTCGCAAACATCACAAAGGACTATCCGGAGAAGATCCAGAATGCCATGAACGAGTTCAAAAACAAGATGCCGCAGAGTTTAGAATCTCGCTGTGCGTGCCTTGGCATGAAAATTGCAATGAATGGGGCTGGCTAGCGAACTGTTCAAAAGGTGAGGTCAGGTTACAGGTTCATTGTGATGTCACGACAGTCTCCATTATCACAGCACGCAAAGCGCTGCAGTTTCATGACTGAGGGCCCGGATGCAGCTGGAGGATGATTGTCCGGGCTCGAATGTCCGTGACAAGATTGTTAACCACCTTCCTGACAGTTGGAAAGAGTGCAGCTGGGACTACGAGGAACTTGAGACGAAAGCGGCACTTGATGACAACATGGCTGTGAACAAGCAAGGTCAAGTAGACTTCAATGGTCTGTGGTTCTTTGGGGCAAAGGATTCCTCTGTGTACTGCGGGATAGAATGCTCTGGCGTTGGCAATGTGCGGCTTCTTGTCGCTTGGCCGCATGTCGTGTGGCCATTGTTGCTTGCTGGCTTGTTGTAGCAGGGCTGGGCAGCAGCTTCCCTGTTGCTTTCAATTTCTTTGTGACTGTGAGTTTGCTTCAGTTCTACTGCGCTGCAATTGCAATGTATCTAGTATTATTGCAGTTATCCAACTAATCCAAATCCAACCCACTGACTGACAACGAACAAATATCCACCGAAGGCCAGTGTCACTGTCACTGTTGGTATTCGTGTTACTGAGGAACTGTTACTGTAGAACTGTAGGACACTTTATTTTTTGGGAATGGGAATGGAATCTGTAATCTCGAATCATAAATTACAAATCACCAAGCCAAGGCCCATGGTGGACTTCTGGTTGTGGCCTGTGACATTGCTGAGATGTCCGGGTATGTTGGGAACAACTCGATTCAAGTCTTGCGGGACGCCTTGTTGAACATGGATGTATCAGGCATCCCTGATTGCCTGTCGCTTCCTTCGCTGTCAGCCGGGTATTGCAAGGTTGGAGACATCTTGGCCCTGCCGATGGGAAGCCTTGTGCTCACCAAGGCAATCAATGGTGACGCGTGTGGACTCAGGAGTGTGCTGAATGCTGTGGCCATCCAGCAATCCTCAACAACCATGTTCTACATCAGAGTTTGAAAGATGAACTAGTAGAATAGAAATTGAGAGCCAGTCTAGCCTGGCAGCCAGACAGACCGCCGCAGGATCAATTCTTCAACGTTCCCTGAGAGTAGCATCACTACATTCAAGAAGTTTGTGTGCGAGCAGGCTAGGGTAAGTGAACGGTTGGTGCAGTTCTTTTGTTAGTTAGGCGGTTCGGAGTTCGGTTCAGTTCGGCCCAGCCGAGGCGGTTCGATTTAGTCATGTATACAGTCTTGCAGACTTGTAGGCCACAAAGTGAATGTTAAACTGTTAAACAGACCAGCAACCGAACTCCACTCCATGGACAGGTGGTTTCAAAGCCAGTGATGGAGTACGTGTTGCAAGTCCTACCTAAAGTCCACCCTTTCGTTGGCGATGGAGCTCCACCTGCAGTGCCTGAGCATGTTGAGGAAGATGAGTTTGACGATGATCTTCTGCAAGAGCTTGAAAAGGCAAACCAGGACAGGACCTCCTTGTGACCTTCTCAGACCTTTTCACTTTGGATTTTTATAATGATACTTGTTGGTCGAAGAATTAGACTCTAGACGGAGACAAAGAAAACTCAGACTCAGAGACTCAGAATCAATAATACTAATATTAATTCAATTTACACCGATACACCTCATTAGCATTGACAGCAACTGGCGACTGGCAACAAATAACTCACTGTGGATCGGAATAGTGTGAGTGTGTGTACTGTGTACTGGACAAACAGGTGAAGTGAAGTAAGGTGTTAACGGCAAGTGTTGTTCTCCTTTACTTGTATCCTTGTGTAGGAGACGGAGGCTTGGTCCAAGGCTGCACTCCAGGTCATGTCACGCGAGCTGAACCCTGACCAAGCGGCATCAAATGAACCAGCCGTTGTGGACCCTGATCAGAGCCCTGCAGATGCACCAGCCGCTATGGAGCCTGAGCCTTGTCAGGTCCTTGCAATTGCATCAGCCGCTGTGGAGCCTGAGCCTGGTCAGGGCCCTGCAGATGCACCAGCCGGCCCTGCAGATGCACCAGCCGCTGTGGAGCCTGAGCCTGGTCAGGGCCTTGC